GAATCCGAATCTGAGTCCTGGAAGGGGTGAAAGTGGGGTGTCCAGGCTGGAGAAGTGGGGTCAAGGAGGGAGGGAAGAGGTGGGGGTGACACTGGGGATTGGGGGACAGGTTGTGGCTGGGGAGGCCTGAGGAAGTGAGGGGGAGTAGAGGGACGTGCTGTGGGCAGTGTGCAGGCTCTGGCCGGGAAACCTAGTGCTGCTCCTCCCCAGGAGCACGGCCTCCCGTGAGCAACTCATCTGTGAATGGAGCTCAGAGGGCTGATGGATGATGAACTGAGTTAACCTCAGTGAGGTGCTTAGAACGGCAGCCGGCGGGGTGAGTGTGCAGTAAGTGCTGCTTCTTCCTAGCACCCCAGGCCCTGTGCCCACATCCTCACCTCGCTTCATCCCCTTGTCCCCTGCAGCGTGGGCACACCGTCCCTCACCAGCAGCACTGCAGCCATCCTCACTGAAGTCACTCCTGTGGATAATGGCCCTTACCCCACAGAGCCCCCTACTCTGACCCCTTCAGCCTCCTCTTATCAATGTCTCCCTTGCCGGGGCTCCCACACTGCAGGTCTCTGCACCCTCTCTGCTGTCCCTCTCCACCTACCCTGAGCTGTCTACCTCACCCGTGCCCGTGGCCTCGACATAGTCACTGATGATGCCACCTCTCTGTCCCCAGATCCAGGGGTCTGTGGCCTCCTGGACGTCTCCCCGTGGAGGGCATCCAGGACCCTCACATCTACTGTTTCCCCAACTGGCCTCAGCATCTCCCCCAAATCTGCTCCTCCTCCCGGACTTCATCTTAGGGGGCCTCACTTCGTCCAGGGCATCTCCCATTTCCTGCCACAGCCCATGAGCCCCACTTGGCATCTCCCGTTTCCTGCCACAGCCCATGAGCCCCACTTGGCCCCCGCTTCCTCAAGTCTCCACCTGGTCTGGCCTGTCCTCTGGGCCCAGGCCTTGCCCTGCCTCCTCCCGACCTCCCAACCTCAGTCTCCATGTCCCGTCTCCCCTCCATGTGATGGCCCGCCTGGGCCCTGGCGCACTCCTGGATACTTCAGAGGCCTTTCTCTCTGGCTTCTCCAGTCATTTAATCATACATATCTATGAAGTCCTCCATAATGCCAGCTCCACGAGGGTGGGGACTTTATCTGCCATGGTCACCACTGAATGCCTGGCACCTAGACAAAGGCCTGGTACCTGGAAAGTCCCAGAACTATCCACCACTGAACGAATGCCTGCTGTGCTAGACCAGGGCTGGACCCTGCAATGATCCCCCGAAAACGCAGATGTGACCACCTCACTCCCCTGCTGACGACCCCCTCCCCATCACTCACTACCCTGGCTCGAGGCTTTTTGAATCGGAACCTCCCCTTCCAAATGACAGGGCTTTCTGCAAGGAACTGACCAAAACTTAATGATTTCCTCTGCTTGAATAACTTCCCCTTCCCCTTCCTTATCTCCCCCAGTGCGTATTCCTGGGTCCCCCAAGATCCAAGTGCCTTATAAAAAAGAAAACACTCTGAGCAAACGGGCCTTAATCAGAACCGCAGTACAACATTCACCCAAAAAAACTCTCTGCCGTTGGGTCAACTCCAACCTGTGGCGACCACCTGTGTGTCACAGTAGAACTGTGCTCCACAGATCGCCAGGCCTTTCTTCCCAGGCGCCTCTGGGTAGTCTCAAACCGCCAACCTTTCGGTTAGCAGCCAAGCGCATTTACCGTTTGTACCACCCTGAGACTCCCCAGCACCCCCCTTAACTATCTCTTGAAAAGCTTACAGTCCTGTGTCTCAGAGGACGGGATGTCAGACACGGTCCTGGTGTCTCTGTCTCCCCTTCAGTGGTCCCCCTCCTCCCACTGCAGGGCTCTGTCCTTCCCTTCCCATATTCCTCTCCTCTCCCTTGCAAACTTCCCTCTGAATCGAAGTCACCCTTGCCATGTCTTAACACTGTCCGGCGCATTTCTTTCTTTGACGCTTTTTAAGATTACGCAAGCTTTGCAAAAAACTTTGAATGTCAGACAATGTATAATCTGGGGCACTTGCCTTAAGGTTCCCTCACCCAGGCCTGTATTAGAAGTTTGATGTTAATTATGCCAGCTTTCTTCTCTACGTGTAAAAATCCCTTATTTTTATAGAAATGGGTCATGCATCGTCTGAGCTGCACCTTGCGGTTTTTCAGAGAACAGTATGCTATACACCCACCTCCTTCTTTTAAGCAACTGCACAGCGTTCCATTGTAGGGACGAAGCAGTTCATTTAACTCATCCATTGACGGCCATTTGAGCTGTGTCCAGTTTTGCCCCGTTGCAGGGACAATGCTGCGATTTACATCCTCCATCTCTCTCAGGGACTGAGGATCGCTTTTTAATATTAAACCTTTTTCTCTGGACCCCACATGACAGTAGTGGCACTTTGAGAGTCAGGGGAGTATGAAACCCCAGCCTGAGACGGAGCTCTCATCCCCTCAATGCCACTCTGCTGTGCCTTGTGAGGGACTTTAACCACAGCATCTCCACTGGTCTACATCTGCAAAGCCAGCTCGCATCTGTGGTTGGGCTGGAGACAAAGAGGCTCTGTGGAAGGACTCCAGGGCCCTACCCGGCCGGTGCGGCAGCTCCGCCTGCAGGGGAGGTGGAGGTGCTGGCGATGCCTTCCGGCCTCCAGCTTCTAGGAGGCAGCCCTGTCCCCCTCAGTGACTGGAAAGCAGTATCCTGAGGGTCTTGAGTTTCAAACTTCCCCTGCTCTTCCAGAAGGCAAGCTGCTTATCGACTCTGCCTCTGATGCCTCAGATTCCTCATCCGTGCAATGGGCATATCCCGCCCAGGGATATCGGGAAGGTTAAGCCAGTTGATGCATATAAAGCATTAAGCACAGAGTCAGCACTCAATACATGCTAGCCAGGAATGTAATTATCCCACTATTCCCAGCCAAAGGAGCCTAGTGGCACAAGCGGCAAGCGCTCAGCTGCTAACTAAAAGGTTGGGGGTTTGAACTCATGCAGCGCTGCCTGGGAGAAAGACCTGGTGATCCACTCCCAGAAAAATTATAGCCTCGAAAATCCTATGGGGCAGTTCTACTCTATCCCATGGGGTCGCTACAAGTTGGAATCAACTAATGGCACCTAACAACAACCATCCCCAGCCACCAAACTACGGAACACATCACAGTCTTTCCTGCCTCCAGGTCTTTGCACAAGCTACGTCCTCTGTTTGGAACACCAGTTGTCATCTTGTGTAGGAATATTCCAAGTCACTCTTCACTGACTACACTGTGTTTATCTCTCAATCTGACTCCTAGACCAGCCTGTGGATTCCTCCAGGGAAGGGGCCAGGTGCAATCTGTGACCCCACAAAGCTTACTCAGCACTCCCACAGTGCCCCTCCATTATCCCCTTAGAGGCTCATTCTCTGTGAGGGCCGTGAGTTCAGGGAACAAATCTGATGTGTGTCTCTCCTGGACCCAGCACAAATGAGGTTCAGAAGGAATGGAGAGAGGGCGGACATGGAAAGAGGGAACCTTGGAGGGCACGTCTGGGACTGATGCAACACACCCTTCTCTGATAGTCCCCAGAATCCACCATTCCCCAGAAGGCTGCACTCTTCGTTGGGGAGAGGGATTGGGGCAGTGAGCTGGGGGCCCTGGGGGAACTGGCTCCCCTCTGCCGCCTCCCCCAGCACGGGATGTAGGAACAAGTCCGTCTCTCTCCTTCCCTCCAGTCCACCCTTTTCCCCCATCTCACCTGAGCCTCCTGCACCTTCCCTGCCTGGGTCTCCAGAGGGTCAGAGGCTGGGGGAGGAGGGGGAGCAGACATGGTTACAGTGGGGGGAATGGTTAAGGGGGAATAACGGGGTTCAGAGTGGGAATGGGGGGACCAAGAAGACCCACCGACCTAGTTACACTGGGGTGAGGAGTAGAGAGGATGGGATGGGGAAAAGCTGATCTTATTAGAGTGGACATTGTTGGGAGGGGAGGTGGCTAGTGAGGGACAAAGAGGCAGGGAAGGGGAAGGTTTAGGAGCATAAAAAGGAGAAAGGAAGGGATACAGGGTATGGAAGAAGAGTTAGAAAGAGTTGGAAAGGGCATAGCAGTGTGTGTGTGTGTGGGGGGGGTTAGGTTTACAGGGTGGAGGGAAAGTTAGGAAGAAAGGAGATAGGAAGGGATACCTTGGCTGGGAGGCGGGTTTGGGAGAGAAGGTGCAGTGGGGGTGGTAGGTTTAGGAGAGGTACAGGAACTAGACGGAAGAGATAAGAGGGAACACCAGAGGTCCCCTAGCATCATACAGTTGCCCCTAACAACCAGGTACCCTTAGCAACCGGGATGGCGGCAACGAGGGTCCTTAGCAAAGAGGGTCGAAAAATATGCGATTATCAGTAACGTGGTAAAGTGGCCCTCAAAACCTCCCGACCCAGAAACCCACCAACCTAGCAACACGGATCATTTAGCAATGGACCTTCAAATCCCACTCCCCCATGCAACCTCCACCTCCCGCCCCACCGCGCCCACTCTCGGGCCCCGGGGCCTGGATCACGAAACCAGGCCCCGGCGCGGCCCGACCCTCCCACTGGGGCCCTTGACTCACGGTCCGGCTCAGCCATGGGCGCAGGGCCGGCGCCCTCGGGGCTGTCACCGACTGCTCTGTCCCGTGACGGCACCGGAAGGAGGAGGGGCAAGGAAGAGGCAGAGAACTACAACTCCCAGAAGCCATAGCGCCGCGGACTAGCTATTCTAAAAACCCGAAAGCGTCCCCCCGGATAAGGAAGATGCGCGAGGGCCGGACTACGAGTCCCAGAGGGCCGCGCGTCGGCAGCCATGTTGGTAAAGGGCGCCAGGAAAATGTGGGAACGGGTCGAGAGCTGTAGTCCATTCCAACACTCTTATTGGTCCTGGAGCGAGATTGGGCGGGACGTGAGCGATTTAGCTCACTCTTATTGGAGACAGCAGGGGGAGTGTTGGGGAATTCCCCGCAGGGCGGAAGCTCCGGAGGTCCGGGCAGAGCCCAGCGGCAGGCTGGCTGGCGGGTGGCTTCTGGGGTCCCAGAGACAGAGGGGGCCATGGCCGGGGTCGCTTGCTTGGGCAAGGCCGCAGATGCGGACGAGTGGTGCGACAGCGGCCTAGGCTCGTTGGGTCCGGACGCAGCGGCCCCTGGAGGACCGGGGCTGGGCGCAGAGCTGGGCCCGGGGCTTTCGTGGGTGCCCCTCGTCTTCGGCTACGTCACTGAGGATGGGGACACGTGAGTGAACCTTAGATTCCCAAACCGGCCCCAAGGATCCGACCTCTGATAAGATCAGCTTTACCTGATTCCCCAGTGGTCTGATCCGGCTTCCAAACCTTTACCCCTAAATCTGACCTCTGATCCTTGACTTCCTGACCTCTAACCCCCAAATTCTAACCTTTAATAAATGAACCTCCTATCCAACTTTGATCTTAACCCAATAATTTCTTTTTGTAAATTTTTTTAAAACCCAATAATTTCCGACTCTCCTTTCTTGAACTCTTGATTCCCGGTTCCCGGAATCCAATCCCTAACGCACTGATCCCAAAATCCAGTTTGACCTGATTTGGTCCTGAGACCTTTATTAGAACTCTGACTCAGCTCCTCCTGACCTCTAACCTCCAAACATGGTCTTTGATTCTTAATTCATGACTTATGAGACTAGACTTTGATTTCTGATGTTATACTTGGTCCCTGACTCTAAGATCCTGCCTTCTGAGCACTAATTTTCAAGTCTTTCATTCAGAGAGAGAATGTAAGCTCCATGAGAGCAGGGATTCATCCTTTCAACAAATAGTTATTGAACACAACCATGTGCCAAAGCCCTGGTGGTTAAGAGCTCGGCTGCTAACCAAAAAAAGGTCAGCAGTTTGAATCCACCGGGTGCTCCTTGGAAACCCTATGGGGCAGCTTTACTCTGTCCTGTAGGGTTGTTATGAGTCAGACTCGATGGCGGCGTGTTTGGTTTTTTTGGAGGGGGAGGTATCGTGCTAGGCCCTGTTTTGATGCTGGTGTTAAGATAATGAGGAAAACAGACAAAAACTTATGTCCTTATGGAGCATACATTCTGGAGAGAGGAGGGAGGCGAGGCAGAAAGTCAGGCAGAAAGAAAGACAGGAAGGAAGGAAATAAATCCATAGCCCAGAATATGGTCTGTCTTGGTAAATGCTGTGTGTGCACTTGAGAAGAATGTGCATTATGCTATTGTTGAAAGGAGTGTTTTCTAAAGGTCATTTAGGTCAACTTGGTGTATAGTGTTGTTCTAATGTACTATATCTTTGCTGCTTTTCTGTCATTTATTGAGAGAAGTATAGTGAAATGTCCAACTGTAATTGGGGATTTGTCTGTTTTTCCTTGTAATTCTATCGGTTTTTGCTTTGTGTATTTTGAAGTTCTGATATTAAGGGCTCTACTCATATTAAAATACTCCAGCTTTCTTGTGACTAGTGTTAGAATGGTATATCTTCTTCCATCCTTTTATTTTTAATCTATATGTGTCTTTATATTTAAAGGGCATTTCTTGTAAACAGCATATAGTTGGGTTTTGCTTTTTTATTCAGTCTGACAATCTCTGCCTTTTAAATGGAGGTGTTTAGACTATTTACGTTTAGTGTAATTATTGATATGGTTACATTTAAATTTATCATTTTGCTATTAGTTTTCTACTCGCCCCATCTGTGCTTTGTTTCCTTTTTCCTGCCTCCTTTTGGAATGACTGAGTATTTTTTTGTAATTTCACTTTATCTCCTTTGTTGGCTTATTAGCTATAACTCTTTGTTTTGTTACTTTAGTGGTTGATTTGAGGCAGGGGTTGCCATACTATGGCCTGTAGGCAAGATCTGGTCAGCTGTCTGTTTTTGTATGGTTATAAGGTAAGAAAGGGTTTTATACTTTTGAATGGTTAAAAAAAAAAAAAATTGAAAGAAGAGTAGTAGTTCATGACAAGTGAAAATTGTACGAAATTCAAATTTCAGTGCCCATAAATAAAGTTTTATTGGAACACAACCACCCTCGTTTGTTTACATATTGTCTATGGCTGCTTTTGCACCACAACAGCAGAGATGTGGCAGAGACCACATAGCCTGGAAAGCCTAAAATATTTGGCCCTTTACAGAGAAAATTTGCTGAAGCTTGTTTTAGGGCGTTTAGTATATAACTTTAAATTATGGTCTACTTTAAGTGATGTTATGTTACTTCACATGTAGTAAAAAAACCATTTATATAATCTGTACAAGTTGCATCTAGTCATTTCTGACTCATGGTGACCCTATGTGTGTCAGAGTAGAACTGTAATCCATAGGATTTTCAATGGCTGATTTCTTAGAAGTAGAGTTACCAGGCCTTTCTTCTGAGGTGCCTCTGGGTAGGCTCAAACCCCCAACCTTTCTGTTAGCAGCCGAGCTTGTTAACCATTTACCCCGCCAGGGATGTCATATGTTGTTGTTGTTAGTTGCTGTCTGGTCAGTTCTGACTCACGGTGACCCCATGTGTGCAGAATAGAACTACTCCATAGAATTTTAAAGGCTGTGACCTTTCAGAAGCAGATTGCCAGGCCTGTCTTCTGAGGTGCCTCTGGGTGGGTTCGAACTGCCAACATTTCAGCTGGTAGTTGCGCACTTAACTGTTTGTGCCATCCAGGGACCTAAACAAAACAAATGAAACCAAATCAGTTGCTGTCAAGTTGATTCCGACTCATAGCAACCCTATAGGACAGAGTAGAACTGCCCCATAGAGTTTCCAAGGAGCCCCTGATGGATTTGAACTGCCGACCTTTTGGTTAGCAGCCGTAGCTCTTAACCACTATGCCATCAGGGTTTCCCAGTGACCTAGGGACTCCATATAAAATATACATTAGTATATTTCCATTTGTTCCTCCTGTCCTTCATGCTATTGTTGTTATACGTTTTACTTATACATATGCTGTAAACTCCACAAAAATTCTTATGTGTTTGTAGTTACTATTTTTGGTGTTTCTCATTCATTTGTTTAGATCTGTATTTCATTTGATATCATTTTCCTTTTGCCTGAAGGACTTCTTTTTTTTTTTTCTTTATTGTGCTTTAGGTGAAAATTTATATCTCAACTTAATCTCTCATACAAAAATTTATACACATACTGTTATGTGACACCAGTGGCAATCCCTTTAATATGACAGCACACTCCTCCTTTCCACCCTGGGTTTCCCATGTCCATCCAACCACCTCCTGTCCCTTTCTGCCTTCTCATCCTGCCTCCAGACAGGAGTTGTCCATTTAGTCTCATGTATCTGGTTGAACTAAGAACCACACTCTTCATGAGTATTATGTTTTATCGTCCAGTCTAATCTTTGTCTGAAGAGTTGGCTTTGGCAATGATTTTAATTCTGGGTTAACAGAGGGTCCAGGGGCTATGTCTTTGGGGGTCCCTCCAGTCTCAGACCATTAAGTCTGGTCTTTTTACTAGAATTTGAGTTCTGCACCCCACTTTTCTCCAGCTTCATCAGGGACTCTGTGTTGCGTTCCCTGTCAGGGCGGTCATTGGTGGTAGCTGGGCACCATCTAGTTCTTCTGATCTCAGGCTGATGGAGTCTGGTTTATGTGGCCCTTTTGTCTCTTGGCCTAATATTTTCCTTTTGTGAAAGACTTAACATTTCTTGTAGTGTTGGTCTGCTGGCGATTAACTCTTTCAGCTTTTGTATGTCTGAAAACATCTTTGTTTTGCCTTCATTTTAAAAAGATATTTTCCCTGAGTGAAGAATTGTAGGTTGACAGTCTTTTTCTTTCAGTTCTTTAAAGATGTTTCTCCACCATCTTTTCTCTTGCATTATTTCCTATGTGAAATCTGCTGTCACCCTTTTCTTCCTCTGTATTTAAAGTGTTTTTTTTTTTTTCCGCTGACTTAACATTTTGTGTTTATTACTGGTTTTGAGCAGTTTGGTTATGATGGGTCTTGGTGTAGTTTTTTCATGTTTTTTGTGCTTGGAGTTCACTGAGTTTTTGGATCTGTGGGTTTATCATTTTCCTCAAATTTGGAAAAATTTTTTTCAAATATTTTTTTCTGCCCTCCCCTCTTTAGGTACTTCCATTACACATATATTAGGGCCACTTGAAATTTTCCCACAGCTCACTAATCCTCTTTTCATTTTTTTGGATTGTTTTTTCTCTGTGTTTCATTCTTGATAATTTATATTGCTGTGTTTTCAAATTCACCAATCTCTCTTCTCCAGTGTCTAATCTGTTCTTAATCCCATTCAGTACAAGTTTCATCTTTGATGCTGTAGTTTTCATCTCCAGGAGTTTGAGTCTTTTTCTTTTATCTTCCATGTCTCTACTGAAATTTTTGAACATATAAAATACAGTTATAATGACTTTTAATGTTTTTGTTTGCTACTTCTAACATCTGTGTTATTTTGGGGTCAGTTTCAATTGATTGACTATTGTCATTATGGGTAGTGTTTTCTTGCTTCTTTGCATGTCTGGTAATCTTTGATTAGATGCCAGACATTGTGAATTTTGCCTTGTTAGATGCTGGGTATTTTTGTATTCCTATAAATATTCTTGATTTTTGTTCTGGGATGCCATTAAGTTGCTTGGGAGCAGTTTGACCCTCTGAGGTTTTGCTTTTATGATTTGTGAAGTGGGTCAGGGCAGTGCTCAGTACAGGGCTAAAGTTATTCCCCACTACCAAGGCAAGACCTCAAGTATTCTGCCCAAATGCCCTGTGAATTGCGAGGTTTTCTCATCTGGCCAGTGTGAACAGGCACTATTCCTGGTCCTGTGAATGACAAGGACACTGATCTCTGAGCCATTTGGATGTCTTTTTTCCCCAGACTCAGGTAGTTTCCTTACTTGCATATGCTGATCAGTGCTCGCTCTGTGCAGCTCTCTCCTCTTGGGAACTCTGTCCTGCTAATTGTAGCGACCTTTGTCTTCCCAGACGCTCAGCTCCATCTTCTCAAGTCAGACAGTCTGCTGGGCTCTGCCTGGGTTCTCCCTCTTCAGTAAGCCGTGGCTTGGAAAACTCTCTCAAGTCAGTAGGCAGTGGCATTTGATCATAGGGCTCACCGTGTTTGTTTTCCATCTCTCAGGGATCACTGTCATTTATTGCATAATGTGCAGTCTTGAGAACTATTGTTTCATATATCTTGTCTCATATGTTTTGGTTGTTTCAGGTGGGAGGGAAATCTGGTCCCTATCTCTTCATCTTGGGTGGAAGCAGAAGTCCTGCTTTATGAGCACTGCTGAGTTAACTGTGGTCTCTGATCCTCCTAGATATCTCACAGCTGGTTCCAGAACTGTAGTCATAATGCTTACCACCCAGTAGGTGCTCCATGTTTGTTGAATGAAAGAATGCGGGAGTACTTGACCTCTGCCCTCTGACCCCTGCCTTTGCCCTCAGGGTACTGCACCTGGCGGTGATTCATCAGCACGAACCCTTCCTAGATTTCCTCCTGAGCTTCGCAGCCGGTACCGAGTACCTGGACCTGCAGAATGACCTGGGCCAGGTGAGCCACCAGGGGCCAGTGTAGGGCTGGGGGGCCAGGGTTCTCGGTGTGACCCCTAACCTTTGCCCTCTGTTTCTGCAGACAGCCCTGCACCTGGCGGCCATCCTGGGGGAGGCATCCACGGTGGAGAAGTTGTACGCGGCAGGCGCTGGGTTGCGCGTGGCAGAGCGTGCGGGCCACACGGCACTTCACCTGGCCTGCCGCGTCGGGGCACACGCCTGCGCACGTGTGCTGCTCCAGCCCCGCCCCCGGCGTCCCAGGGGAGCTCTTGACATCTACCATGCCCCAGGCCCTGACCACACCCCTGACACTGACTATGCCCCTGTTGCCTTATACCCCGATCCTGACTTGGAGAAGGAAGAGGAGGAGAGTGAGGAGGACTGGAAGCTACAGCTAGAAGCTGAAAACTACGAGGGTGAGGGTCCTCATGACTGGGAAGGACTCAGGCCCCCATTGGCCCAGGGAACCTGGCTCTGGACTCGGCTTCCCATACTCAAGACCCAGCCACTCAGGAAGTAAATCTAGGCTTCGGGGACCCCAGAGCATTGAGAACTGGACATGTGGGGCCCAGGACCCCCTCTGGAAGCCCCAGATAAGCAGGCACCCAGGCATGTCACCCACAGGCCCAGAGCTACCAGGATCCAGTTATTAGGACCCAGGCTCCCTACCTGCAAGGCACAACCCAGCCTGGATACCTACCTCCACCTACAAGCCCTAGCCCACCCAGGCCTGAGGAATTCAAAGCCCAACCTTCTATGAAACTCTGGCACCCGAGGTCCCCAGAGATAGGTATCAGAGTTTAGGGGCAGCCCCTCTCAGCCAGACCTCGTGGGGAAAAAGGGTTTGTCTACCTGGGGCCCTGGCATTTGAGTCTCAGGTCCTCCACCTGGAGGCCCAGCTACCTCTGACCAGGCCCCTCCACAAATGGACTGAAATCATCTGGGACCCAGTGTTTGGGCCCATCCTCTCCCCAAGGTCAGAGGCCCCTCAGCTCCTCAGCAGTCAGGAGTTTGGGACCCAGGTCCTTTGTGAAATAAGACCAGAGACTCAGGCCCAAGATCTAGACCTCAGGGACCATTTCTCAGTCCGCCCAAGACCAGGCCTCCACCCAAAGACCACAGTCCCTCTACTGATAGCGCCCAGACATCCTGCAGCTCAGGCATCGGGACCTGCCCGCAGGCCCCAGACCACCAGGAGATGTAGGCATCTGGGACCCAGCTGCCTCATTGGCGTACCCCAGAATTCTGGTGCCAGACCCCATGCCTGATCACCCCCAGGCCACATGGCCCTATTCCAGGATCATGGCATTTGGGACCCAGGCTCCTCACCCCCGTCACCTGACACGTGTCACTCTGTCCCCAGGCCACACCCCACTACATGTGGCCGTCATCCACAGAGACGCTGAGATGGTACAGCTGCTCCGGGAGGCCGGAGCTGACCTCAACAAACCGGTGAGCTGCCCTAGGGCAGGGTGTGGGAGACGGGGGCTTGCCCCCAGGGTGGGCCCACTGACCGCCCTTTCGCCGCCCCTCCCAGGAGCCCACGTGTGGCCGGAGCCCCTTGCACTTGGCTGTGGAGGCGCAAGCGGCGGATGTGCTGGAGCTTCTCCTGAGAGGGGGCGCGGACCCTGCCGCCCGCATGTATGGCGGCCGCACCCCACTGGGTAGTGCCACGCTGCGACCCAACCCCATCCTCGCCCGTCTCCTCCGAGCCCACGGAGCCCCTGAGGACGAGGATGACAAGCCTGGCCCCTGCGGGAGCAGCAGTGACAGTGACAGCGGAGATGAGGGTGTGAGTGAGGCAAACGGGCAGGTGGGAAGGGGCAAAAGAGAAAGCAGGCTGTGCGTGAGCCCAGCCCCGGCTGGTGTGACAAGAGAACTCACACGATGGTGCCCGGGATGCCGGGCAGCAGTCGGGGGAACGTGGGTGGTGGTGGTTGAAGCTGAAGGCCGTGGCAGAGGTGGGGGAAGGACCTTGGCTGTACCAGCTGGTGGGTGGCAGCATGGGGAGTGAGTTTGGGGAGGAAGAGCTGGAGAACTCAGGCTGCTGGAAGATGACCTTGAGCAGCAGTGACCTGAAAACTGGCAGTGGTGGGTAAGACCTTAGCCAGCGGGGAGGAGAGGTTTAGTTGGAGAACGCAGGCAGCAGAGATACTGCCTTGAGCAAGAGAAGACATTGAGCAGTGGAGGAGAGACCTCAGGTGGCAGAAGTTGTTGAAAAACGGGGCCAGCAGCAGGAACAGAACTCAAGTAGTGGTGGGGGAGCCCTGGTGGCACAGTGGTTAAGAGCGCGGCTGCTAACCAGAAGGTCGGCAGTTCGAATCCACCAGCCATTCCTTGGAAACCCTACGGGGCAGTTCTACTCTGTCCTCGAGGGTCGCTGGGAGTCGGAACTGACTTGGCAGCAGTGGGTTTATTTCGTCTGAGTAGTGGTAAGAGGATTCAGGCTTTGGAAGAAATGATCTTGAAAACAGTGGCTTGAGAACTAGGAGCAGGGGAACTCGGGCTTTAAGGAAAGACCCAATTTTTAGGGTGGGGGTGGAAGAACTTGGGCAGTGGGCAAGGTGGCAGCTGCCTGAGTCCCTCTGCCTGGCCCCCTTCTGTTCCCAGGATGAATATGATGACATTGTGGTCCACAGTGGCCGGAGCCGAGACCAGCTACCTCCCACCCCAGTCGCAAATCCTCTTCCTGATGACCCTGTCTAATTTGTTTAATTGTTAATATAATTTCAAATATAATAAAATCCCAGTTCTAACCACCAGAGGGGTCCCTTTATTCCTGTGTCCTTGCCCCTCCAAAGTCAAGTGCTACACAGCCATGGTGGTTTTCTCTGTGCTTTATTCACTCAGAGGGGTTGGAATGGATTAAATGGGTGTTGGGGGAGGGGTCCCTTTTCCTGAGTCGGGTCTAAGCCAGCCCCCCTACCCAGGTCAGCGTTGTCCCCTCAGGCCTGGTTCCAAGGTACACACTTTTGCTCACTCCAGCCAGGTTGGGGAGTGGAGTAGGGTGCCAGGTGAGGAGGCAGCTTTGGGGGTCAACAGTCCTAAGCCATAAGGATGTGTGGGAAGAAGGAGGACATGAGGTCGGGGGTCAGCCCTCCTTCCTGAGTTCTTCCCCTAGCATCTCTGTCGCCTTTTTCAGCTCATCCCTCATGTGCTTCAGCTGCTCCAACTCATGTTCCTGGTGGGATCAAGAATGGAATGGTCTGCACCCACCTTCAAAGGCAGGCCATCTCAGTGGTTGCTGGTGAATGTGGGTGGGCCATGTTAGTTCCTAAAGGGCAGCCAGCAGAGGTCACTCTAGCCATCATGGACCAGCAGTGACGGCCATATTGGCCAGAACCCTGCAAGAGTTATGTTGGTCAGTGGGACGCAGCAGTGCAGCCATGAGCAGTGGACACGGGATTAGCAAAGGTGCCCACCATGACTCATTTGTGTGTGATGGCTGTTTTGGCTACCAATCATGGTGACATCTTTTCACGTTCCAGCAAAAATGGTGTCCATCTATAGCCCAGTAAACGAGGCATGGCGACCACTGTTCATGGCGGCCAGCTTGCTCATTATGGACTACCAATGGTGGCTAACTCCGATGCTTGTGTGCCATCTTGATTACTGTAATCTCAGTGCTGCCATCTAGGCTAAGTAGAGGCCTCTCTTGGATATTGCTACCTCTGGTGTCAGTCTTGGAGCCCTGGTGGCGCAGTGGTTAAGAGCATAGCTGCTAACCAAAAGGTCAGCAGTTTGAATCCACCAGCCGTTCCTTGGAAACCCTATGGGGCAGTTCTACTCTTGTCTTACAGGGTCACTACAAGTCAGAATTGACTCGCCGGCAATGGGTTTGGTTTTTTGGGGGGCTAAGTTTTGGTTACTCCAATCTATTCATGATGGATCTTGCTGTTGATGGCCCAACACTGGTACCATTTGGGTGTAACTCCACTGACCATCTGGTCGACCCCACGCCCCCCTGCCTTGGTGCAATGACAGCTTGGCGCTGCCTTCCCTCCACTCACCTTCCTCTCTGCAGCCTCTTCCTTCTCCCCGGGCTCGGCTGCTGGGTGGGGGTGACGATGCAGCGAGTCCTCGTGCCTCTCCCCGCTGCCTCTCTCTGCCCCCTGCCACAGGCTGCGGCCCCCGCCTACTACCTGCACCCCCTTCTCCTCTGCCTTGAACTGGGCTGTCTCCTCATCACTGGCCTTCTCTGCCACCCGCTTCTGGGGGCCCCCTCCATTCTCCAGACGCTGCTTCCACATGTCCTCGAACGCCTCCATGGGCCCCCTCCTCTTCTCCTCCTCCTCCTCCTCCTCCTCGGCCTCCTGGTGGAGCAGGCTGTGGAGCTGCTCACGGACGGCCTGTTCCTGGACCTCAGACTTGTGGGTCCTCTCTGCTGCCTCCTCTTCTTCCTTACCCCTCACCTCCTGGCTCGACCTTGTCTTCCCAGCCTCCCACTTCTTGAAATCCCCACCCAGCAGACTTTTCTCGTCTGCGGATGCACAGCTGTAGGGCTCTGTCTGGCACCTCTCTGATGGAAAGAGAGAGAAACTCCCTGTGCATCAAATGGGGACACAGACCTAGAAGCGTTCCGGGATTTGCCTGCGGTCCCAGAGTTCCCGGAACTGGGAGAGGGGTCAGGGGCTGGGGGGCGTTCTCTGCCCCCACCCTGTACCTTTGCAGGGAGCCCGAGGATGGGAATGCCAGGCAGGAACCGGCTAGCCCGTATGGAGCAGGTCTGGGAATGAGAAGGGGACACCCTCCCCACAGGCAGCCCTCAGAGGCCATGTGGCTAGGGGAGCAGAGCTGGGCAGAGCCGTGAGTGGGCAGGGGCTCCGGAAAGGGCCTGGGGCTCCTTACCTCTGTGGAGGAGAGCAATGCAGGGTCCTCTCTGGGGCTGGCCCAGCGTCAGCACCTCTGTGACCACCTCTGCCAGACAGCGGGTCAGCTGGGGGCAGGGGGGAGGGGTCAGAGAGGGGATGAGGCCAGGGGAGATGGGGATGGGATGAGAGCAGTTGGAGGGTTAGATGGGAGATGAGGGTCACAGACGAGGCTGCGCAGGGAGGGGTGGGGCTCCAGGTGAACTTGGGCGGGGCAAAGGGGTCCATCCAGTCCTCACCTCCTTGGAGGGTCTGGGCGCCAGGGGAGCTGCGGTAGCTGCAGAGGAAGGAGGAGAGGGTGCTGGGTTTGGGCACCCTGCGCTGTCCCCGGTGCTGGTCCCAGCTCAGTGGGCATCTGGGCACCCACACGTCGCCTCCCCAGCCCACCTCCAGGTATACCGCCCCACCTCGAGGTCAGCCTCGTGCGGCCTCTAGTCCCCCACCCGCGCCCTGGGCCCGCCCGTCCCCGTGCCCGGTCACCCGAGTCACGCCGAGACCCCTCACGGTTTCGGGCACTCACCTGCCCCCGCCAGCAGCGCCAGCAGCGGGGGCAGCAGTAACACGGAGGCGGGCCCGCGGCGCTGCATGGTGGGCGTCCGTGCTGGGGTCCTCGGCACTGTGCCCGCCGGGCGGCCGCTCCTTATAACCTGCACCTGTGGCCCCGCAGGGCAGGAAGTGACATCACCGCCGCCCCCAGGGCGACAGCTGCGGTGCGGCCCACCGGCTTGAGACCCTCAATTATTCATGGGGGCCCACGCCGTGCACCCGCTGCCCCTCGAGGCTTCCGGCACATGAGCGCCAGCTGGAGGGTGGAGGCTTCTCTTCCCGGAGAAACGGGCTGATGAGCTCCCCAGCTGCATTTGAAGGCTGACTGGCTTCCACTCTAGCCCCAGCCACTTACAAGACGACCTCAGGCAACACCTCCCCTTCCAGGCCTAGATTTTCCCATCTGGAAAGTGGGCTTCACAGATCCGCTTCCTCAGAGGTTGACTCCTGGCCTGAGTCCCAGCTCCCCCATACCAGCTGTGCAACGCTGGGACAGTTGCTTAACCTGTTACTGTCAGCTGCTGTCAGGTGGCCCCTGACTCATGTTGACCCCAAGTCAGTGGAACATAATGCTGTGTGGTCCCGTGCAATTCCTGTGATCAGTTGTGGACTGGACCATTGTGATCCATGGGGTTTTCACTGGCTGATTTTAGGAAGTAGATCACCAGGCCTTTCCTCCTAGTCCATCTTGGTCTGGAAGCTCCGCTGAAACCTGTTCAGCATCACAGCAACACACACGCAAGCCTCCACTGAGGGACAGATGGTGGCTGTGCATGATTTGCACTGAGAATCGAACCCGGGTCTGTGCGCAGAAGTCAAGAATTCTACCACGGAACCGTCGTGCCACCTCTTATTGTTAAAATACCAGTTATGTATTTTGATATCTATAACAAAACAGACGCCATCTCAACCGTTTCTCCCGTACAGTTCGGTGACAACCACAGATGCCTCTTGGCCTCTGTAGGATGTTTCCTCGTCTGTAAGAGAGGGCCGCTGGCAACCTACTCCACAGCTCGCTGGTGAGGTCTGTACAGCACTGAGGACAGTGCCTGACATTGGGAACGGCAGCGTTCCCAGCATGTTCTTCATTCCAGCAATTTTTATTGAGCACCTACTGTATGCCAGGCCCCGCTCTTGGACCCCTGGGGCTAGAGCCGAGAATGAACTGGTAAACACCTCTTCTCTCTTGGAGCTGACTTTTGAGGAGGGGGAGACGGATAAGACTCAGATACACGACAGGAAGTGGGAAATGGCTGTGGTGCGTCCAGTAGAGTGCAGACGTGGGTGCCGAGCAATGGGGCCCGGGGCGGTCCGGAAGTCTTCTCCCAGGACGTGGTATTTGGCCTAAGGCCTGATGGATAATATGGAGCCAATCAGACAGGATCTGGGGAAGTGTGGTCCAGGTAGGAAGACTAGCGTATGCAAACGCCCAAGTCAAGAAGGAATTTGGAGCAGTAGAGCCACAAGGCAGGTTGGGGCTGGCCAGAGCAAGACAGAAGAGATGGGTGGAGCAGGAAGGCAGGGGGTAGACGTGTGAGGCCATGATGACAGCTCTGCGCTTTCCCCAGTGAGATGGAACCACGGGAGGCCTCTGAGTGGAGAAGGGACGGGATGGGACTCAGGCGCTCACAGGGCCCTCTGGCTACGTGCGGGAGCAGGGAGATGGTGAGGAGGCTGCTGGGAGGATCCAGATGGGAGAAAACAGTGCACAGGACTGGGCTGGGGGCCGTGGAGGAAAGAGGTGGGCACATTCTGGATGTATTTTGAAGGTGGAGCTCCCAGGACTTGCTGAGGGACTGGACATGGGTGTGAGAGAAGGGAGGCGTAGTGGAGTACTTGGAGGGTTGTGGCCTGAGCAACTGGGAAGGTGGCTCCTGTTACTGAGATGGGACACCAAGAAGAAGAGCAAGTCTTGGTGAAAACATCAGAAGAGCCGTCTGATATCCGTCTCACTGAGTCTGTGATGCCTACTGGACCCCTCCGTGGAGCTGAGGAAGGGGCAGCTGGATGAGGAGCTGGGGGCTGAGGGGGGAGTGGAAGCCGGGGTCAGAGCAAAGGAGCCCTTGGAAGGTGACTGCCCTGGCTTGTCCCAGGGGAAGGAGGACTCGGCATTCTCACTGGTGGCCCCTGAACAACCCTCCATGTCCTCTGAGGGTTGCTGGACACCTCTAGGCATGGTCCTTGCAGCCATAGTCCCCTTTGATGACTTAGCACCTCTGAGCAATCGCCCAGCACCTCCCGGAAGGTTGGGCAGGGGCATCAGATCCACAAAGCTCTCTGTCCTGACCATTTATTGGGGACTTTCTGCTCAGCACTGCTGAGGCCAGAAGAAGGGAAGAAGGAAGGAGGGAGAGAGGGAGGCCTCCTTCCCCCATCCCCAGACAACCCATTCCCAGTGCAGGCCGGGGCCCCATGACCACAGGGTCATTGCCGGGCTCCGAGGCCAAGGTTAGGGCATCAGGAGGTGGAGCCTGGAGTCCAGGGGCCCCGGCATGGAGCTGATGTGAGGAACAAAGATGTCGGGATGGATCCCAGGTGTTCAGGGTGCTCTAGCTCCATGAGACAGCGACAGCCCCACGGGCAGATGCGGACAGCTTCTCAGCTCAAGGCAGGCTGGTCTAGGAGCTGGGCGTCCGGGGCTGGTTGGGACCGATGTACCGGAGAGGCACGTGGGCAGGGGCCGTGATCCGATCGGTGCTGAGGTAGGGCTGGAGGGCGGGGGGTACAAGGACCGAGCCATCCTGAGGACAGAGCAGGCCTTAGAGTACTGCCCCTGCCCCGGCCCCCCACCCGCCTCTCGGTTGGGGTCCTTCCCCCACCTCACCTTTTGCTGATAGCTCTCCAGGAGGGCAATGAGGAGACGGGGGACAGCACAGGCTGTGGCATTCACCTGGGAGAGAGGCACACTCAGGGCTGGGCTCCGGAGGGGGCTCAGGAAGGGGCTCAGGGCTGGGCTCAGGAGCGGGTTCAGGAAGGGGCTTAGGGCTGGGCTCAGGAGGGGGCTCAGGGCTGGGCTCAGGAGGGGGCTCAGGAAGGGGCT